GACATGTACTGGCTTAAGCAGGGGGACACGTCTGGCACTGCAGGATTTGAGTCCCTGGCGGCATAGTGTGTTACTGATGGTAGGCTTTGTTACTTTGGTCCCAGCTCTCTGCAGGTCATTCACTAGGTCCCCCCGTGTGGTTCTGGGATTTTTGCTCACCGTTCTTGTGATCATTTTGACCCCACGGGGTGAGATCTTGCGTGGAGCCCCAGATCGAGGGAGATTATCAGTGGTCTTGTATGTCTTCCATTTCCTAATAATTGCTCCCACAGTTGATTTCTTCAAACCAAGCTGCATACCTATTGCAGATTCAGTCTTCCCAGCCTGGTGCAGGTCTACAATTTTGTTTCTGGTGTCCTTTGACAGCTCTTTGGTCTTGGCCATAGTGGAGTTTGGAGTGTGACTGTTTGAGGTTGTGGACAGGTGTCTTTTATACTGATAACAAGTTCAAACAGGTGCCATTAATACAGGTAACGAGTGGAGGACAGAGGAGCCTCTTAAATAAGAAGTTACAGGTCTGTGAGAGCCAGAAATCTTGCTTGTTTGTAGGTGACCAAATACTTATTTTCCACCATAATTTGCAAATTAATTAATTAAAAATCCTACAATGTGATTTTCTGGAGAAAAAAATTCTAAATTTGTCTGTCATAGTTGACGTGTCCCTATGATGAAAATTACAGGCCTCTCATCTTTTTAAGTGGGAGAACTTGCACAATTGGTGGCTGACTAAATACTTTTTTTCCCCACTGTATGTATATGTATATTTTTTTGGTCTGTTTTTTTGTTTCCAAAACTTTCCCTTGGAAGGTGTGAACTGGGAAGGAAATTGTGTTGGGAGAGAGTTGAGTTATTGACTAGACTGGTGGGGGTTGGGCGTGCAGCCGGCTCGGCTGGCTGGTTGGTCTGGCTGAAATTTGATAGAGAGTCTTAATAAAGACAAATCAAAAGTCTGTTTTTTTCATTTGTTAGTTGCAACACAATATTTATTATTGAATTACCTTTGTAATTAGTTCAGTCTTATTCATCATTTAAACATATTGTTAATAATGTTCTCTTACCTAGCTTGATGACTGTGGGCATTTTTGCTTACTTTCTAAATAGAGACGGCATATTAAATTGTGTAAAAATGCAGGAAATGAGCTTTAGATGCCCCAAACAAATTCGCCAGGTTATGTCCCCCACCATTTCTAAAACTAAAGTGGCGCCTCTGCATGCAACAAACTGTGAGTAGAGTTTTTGAGTTACTTGTATAGTTTAGGTCAGAAACTGTACAAAACGTTCGCAATGCGCTCGTTAGCATTTAGTTAGCATTCTCTATGAGGATCCCTTAGTACTTGTTAGCATTTTGTTAGCATTCTGGTAAGTGACGTTTTTTGCGCTTTGAATATTAGTACTTTTTAAATAAATACCTGCAGTCAACTAGTCAATTAGGTAATAGATAAAGCAGATCGTGTTCATCATTTCGCCCGTTAGATAATTTTTCATTATGAAGCTTACCGGTACTAGTTTCCCAAAACAGCGGTTTGAGCCAGTCACGTGTGTTTGTTTACAAAGAAGCACAACGAGCAAAATGGGAGCTTCGTAAGGTGAGTCACTCCTGCAGCGCAACTTAAGTGAGGTGATCAAGTTACACTTGTTTGAAATTCACTACTAATGTTTGCCAGCTATATATCCTATAACTATTAAGTTAACTATCTAAGATGTGCCAAATACATTTTCTCCAGCTGGGTTTTGCTAACTTGCTAATGTTGCTAACGTTAGCTTGCAAGATCAAGCTTCTTGGTAACAGCAGCAGAGACAATCCCCTCCTGCTGCTAATATTTGTTTTGTGCGTGCTGCAAACTGCGTTTTGAGATACTTGCATAACTTTATGAGCTGGGTTGTCGGTCCTAGTAGTAAATGTTTGAATGTACTCGTTACCATTTACCTAGCATCTGCTATGAGAATTCCTTAGTACTGGTAAGTTACGTTTTTTGGGCTTTTTTTCCTGTTTGAAAACAATAATAATAGTGCCCCTTGTGTGCACTACCGGTAATGCCGTATATCCCGGGATGGCACAAGCACAGTGTTAAGGTATGGAAATCTGGATACCGCTCAACCCTAGGACATATCCCTGCAATTTAGCTGGTACAAATTGTTAATATTAAATGTTAATTGAATGTAAATGTTTACTTCCAATTAATACCACAAAGATGGCCACCAGTCCACCCACCATCAAATGTCAATTTAAATGGGAATGTCTACTCTCTTATCTATAATTTTTTGATTTCAATAGGTTTCCTATGGAAGATTGACAGTATAATTTAAAACAACTGATATTCTTATCTAAGTCTCTGATGTGTGCACCTCCAAACATCCTTGTGCTACCATTTATTTGAAAGTTGACATTTCAATTGTTTTCCCATTTTAGATCATTTATCACCCAAAACATGACACCCAACCTGTATTCAAGAGCATGCTGTGGCGCGCACAACACAAACCCCTCAGATTATGTAAAATCGGGTCTAAGACAACATATAGGTAAAAAAAAAGTAAGTAATTGTCAAGAAATTATACAATAGTTTGACAACCCTGTTTATAAGCTTTTAAATTATATAAAACTCAACCTTCTATATTTTCCAGTGATGAAGACATGGATGTCTCATGGTAGGGTGGGGTATGCAAAATGGGTCATCTTTGAGCACCTCTACCAAAAAGCTACTTTCTGACCACTTCTACCATGGACAAATATGTATTCAAAGTTTTGTTAAAATCAAAAGGGGTGGCGTCCAAAGATGATTGAAATCAAATGAAACGACCCATCTTTGTTATCAATTAGGCTAGGCTAAATCCATCATTAAGGCTCCCTACTCTGCATACTTCAACTCGAGCTCTTCACACACTGTCTGCAATAGGACTACACTTTTAAAATAGAAAGTCAGTCAAGAAAAAATACCTGAGGGGCTAAACAAATTGGTTAAGCTAACGCCACAAGCCACGATGCATAAAAAGCTAAATAAACAACTCTAATGTGCAGTCAGCTAATGTTTCGTCATGACTTCACACACAAGCACCTGCTGTGCTTTATCCTGCGGCATGGCCACGTCGCTAGCCACATAGCGTCTCTAGCCAGCACTGCCTGCATGCCCCCTCTGTCCCTTCAGCTGTGGGAGAGCACCACCACAGCGCTAACTGCACATTTAATCAGCTTTTTGCCTCACACGTCTCCAGTAGCACGCTTAGCGCTAACCCCTAACACTAGGGGTGATGTGGCAAAAATCCTCACACAACAGACCACACAATAAGGAACCAGAGACCCCGGGAGATCAAGCCAGATGTGGTAATAAACTACTGTAACGTTTTGAAGAGCTGTCTGGCTTAACGCTGTTGGTCAAAAATCTATGAGATGGGGTTGATTTTATTAAAAGGTGAAAAACAATAAACCTTGCCCTGTACATATAGCCATGTAACTACCCCTATCATGTATATAGCCCCTGCTGGAGTGGAAAGTGTGAAAAACAATGGGACTAAATACACCAAACTAGGAGCCCATTGAAAAGCTCAACCGATGTGTCCAAACAAACTTTTCCTACCAACTAAAGATACAGCAGGATTTGACCTTGCCTGGCAATCAGTCCAGATGTCCAACAAACACTATTGGGTCATTACAAGACAAACAGAAGCCACTACGCCAGGGTCGTGTTCATTAGGGCACACTGTATCAAAACACTTTGCAGAAGAGAACAAAAACAAGCATTTGTAAATAGACAAAATCAGATAGTACCTACCTGTTTCACTCCTTTTCGTGCCTACTGAACACGACCCAAGCGTTCGCCAACATATCACTCGCATACCCCCCGCCCCCTCCAGTCCAGGATCAATGGAAACTACCACAGGAGATATCCAGGAGGACAGAGTGGTGGTCCTCTGTAGCTCAATTGGTAGAACATGGCGCTTGTAACGCCAGGGTAGTGGGTTCGATCCCCAGGACCACCCATACGTAAAAATGTATGCACGCATGACTGTAAGTCGCTTTGGATAAAAGCGTCTGCTAAATGGCATATTATATTATTATGGCCGATTTCAGCGGCCACTAAGTGCTGAATCAGCTGCCAAGACAGACAGACTGCTTCCCAAATGGCACCCTATTCCCTATATAGTGCACTACTGACTAGGGTCCAAAGGGTTCTGGTCAAAAGTAGAGTACTATATAGGGAATAGAGTGCCATTTTGGACAAACCCTAGTCAGAAAGTGCTGGAACAAGCACAAACACTCTATTTACCTGGCTACACTGTGACGAGGCAAACAAACGCTTTCTGTCTGCTCTCTAGAGGTAGCCTGGCCTATATGTACATGACACTCCAGAGACCATCAGTTAAATCAGATATAAAATAGAACATATCCAACTATAATTCATCCTTCCAACCATCAATTTACACAGTATTATCTGTTTAACTTCCTCCTTTGTCCTAATTATTTTACAACATAGAAAATACACTGCTGTTTCTTTTCCATATTGCATGAAAATCAAGAGTGCATGCGGTACATTCTCTTTCCTTTCATGCTAACGTGTTTGTAGAGTGTGTTTGTATTCATTACAGTTGAATGACTGTTGAGTGAACGATGTCTGTATGTCTGTCTGTCTGGAGAGAGACCGTCTTACCCTATTGTAGTTTCCAGACTTAATTCCCACTGGAATCTTGCTCTGTAAACAAAACACACACAAAGAAAACAGATGGGACAGGTGAACATCACTGTCAACAACGCAGAAAGCAGGTCACAGAGGCTAAGCTATAATTAATGGAAAACACAGATTAGAATACGAAGACTCGGGGAACACTATATTAACAATAGTAAATGAACCCACTAGGGGTTAGGGGCCTCTTCTTGTAGGCCTAGATCTAAAATAATCAGAGTGATTAGCAATATAGTAATAATAGCTCCACCTTGTTGTAGCCTACGTGGAATTTTCACCACATTTCCAATACTTACTTAATCATTTCAGACCTACAGGAGGTGTCTATGGGTAATGAATACTAGGAGTCAATTTGGAGACCAACGTAGATAATTGTGGGTAGGTTGAACTGACCTCTGGGCAGGGCTCCACTTGGCAGTCCTTGATGGAGCAGTGGCCATCGTCAGCCCAGAAGGGACAGGGCCTATTCAGGTTGACCTGTGGAGAAGAAAAGGGAAGAGTTGGGATGGCATGGTATATGCTATGAAAGTGACTGCGTCACACAGAGATGTGATGTATTGGAGACAGGCAAGACAGAACAGCTAAGCTAAATTCACTTTTTTCCCGATTTAGAATTATACGCATGATTATAAGTGTCTCAAATAATGATGTCATCAAATGATTCAGATTCTCTTTCCGTTGACGCTTTTCAGAGACGAGCTCCGTCGAAAACGCCACGGGGCATCGTCGCTGCTGGTGACCTCTTTCCAGTCGTGCTCGTCATTGGATACATCAACCTCATACAAAGGCGACCGTATGAGGAGAATGCTTCATAATCATAAAGGTGACACTGTCTGTGGGGTCAAAAGTGTCGCTCAGCCAATGGGATGTTGACTAGGAGAGCAGCAGCTTACTGACCAGTGGCAGTGGTAGACATAAACTTCATCGGATTATCAGACTAGGGGCCAGATGAGTATTCTGAAAATATTAAATGATGTTCCTATGAGTCTATTCTTCCTTTTCAGAGTTCCTGATGGGAAGTTCACAGTGGGAAAAGGGCAATACACTCTGCCTTTAGAATGAGTTGGCTTAGTGTGTATGAATGGTGTATGAACGCAACAGCTGGACTCACACGCCAAGTGTTTTTTTTTACTGCCTTTGTGAAAAGATTAAAGTGACTCAATGGGCCTCAATGTTTTTTTTATGGATGCTAGGTGTTGGGAGAGTGTTTGAGCAGTTATACAAATGTAACAGGGGACAGAGTGCTGTTATCAGAGAGAATTTTATAATTTTTGCATCAGGTTCTACAAATGGGCAACTCGTAAGACTGTCTAGGGATGCAAAAGAGGATGATTGGGAAAGAGGGATGAATAAAGGTCAGCACTGGATCTACTGTATTTCCCTACAAGATTCAGTTACATCCACACGTTGATGTCATCCTAATGCACTCTTTCTAATACCTAGGTTCCAGTATGAGGAGCATCTAATTTTCACACTTAGTGTGCCTGATAAGTATCACATATCATAATTATAACGTAAGGTCAATGAGTTTTTGCTGTAATTAGGGCCCAAGCAAGTTTTTCCTGGTCAGGGTGTATTCATTAGTGCATAAGCTAACCCTGTCTGTTTTGCGCCATAGTTGCGCATGCGTCAGTTTTGTTGCTAAACAACCAACCCTATGGGACGAGTTCAGGTTAGTCCCGTCCCATTCCGTTTGGTTCCTAGTGAATACACCCCTGGACATTATAATGTAAACAGAAGTCGTTTTTTATTTATCTAAGAATGTTGTCTATTCGCTGTCAATAGGTCCCTGAAGCAGACCTATTCCAAATCCCTGAAGCAGACCTATTCCAAATACAACAGTAGTCCCGGGCGGAGACATCCTCTGCAGTGAATACACAACAGAGCAGCGTCCACAAACTCTATACGGGGTAGGCTGGAAAACATTTGCTTGGCCTATTTGTTTTAGATTAGCAAGGAACTGAATTGGGGAGGGTCCCTTTAAAAGCACTAAGTACTACGGGTTAGGAGCCATTGAAGCTCAAACAAAGGTATTGTTAAAAAAAAATACAAACCCATTTGAAAATACAGGTAGTCAATTAGTGTAAATCCACAGTAGTATGATTGTTTATTGAGGGATTACTTTTAGGACACATTTAAGCTATACTGCAAAGACAAACGCAAAACCTTACGGTCTGATGATTTTAAGGACATTTCTAAAGCTCCTCGTCCTCCACTGTTGGGGCCTACTATTTAGTACTTACCCTGTAGTACCTGAAGTAGTCTCTCTCGGTCAGCTTCTGAATGCGGGGGTAGATCTTGAAGTTGTTGAAGACATCGATGCTCTCGATGTCACAGAAGCAGTCGTCCAAGACGCCTGTCAACTGAGGGAAACAACCGGAGAATGCCTTAAGAATTATGGTTGTACACCAGCATTAATTTCGTCAACAAAAATATTTGTCAAACACCTATTTTTCAGTGGCAATTGACTACACTATAACTGACTAAATAGACCCAGAAAAAACTATAACTAAACGAAAAAGATTGTTAATTTCAGTTGACTAAAACGAGACTAAATTATCTCTGTGGCTAAAATCAGACTACTAAGTGGACTGGACAAGAGTTTTTGGAGAGATTGAAAGCTTTTCAGTGATCAGCACAATTAATATTAAGAGTACAGATGCGCAGCGCGGTTCTGTTCAGCAGTGGGAAGGAGCCGCCACACACAGCCTAGCATACATCAGCTGGGGAGCAAGCGATGAGTGTGGGCAGGAGAGAGAGAGAGGAGAGAGGAGAGAGAGAGAGAAACGAGGGCAAAAGCTGGCCTGCAAATCTTAACTTCCTCTTACATACATTTAGCCTGATACCTAAACTGCAACATACTATTTCAAATCACAAACACTTTCAGATATGAGAGCTGGAAGCCAGATAAAATACCACTTCCTGACGCTCGAACATTACAAAAAACTTAAGCAACACGACGATGTTCGTTCCAGCTGCCGGTTGAGGTTGTTGACCAAAATTTGGTTAACAAAACGTTTGCCATTCTCCCTCCGCCTATCCCTATTCATACATCTGATACCTGCGGACAACCGGCTTTATTCTCCCATACATAATGAAATAGACAGCTGCTTTGTGAAAGAAAGACTGCGTTGGTCTGGTCCAGCAGACACCCAAGCCTTCCCACTCTCTCTTGTCATGAAGTATTCAGCTCTAGACCCAATCAATGAAAATGGTGTTATAGAAAATGTTTTAGTTGTTAAACTCGTTTCAGGAGTATCTTGTCACTACAGTCGTTTGAAAGGTATGTGTGTCACTGTCACCAGACACATACGCTATTTTATAAAAAACAAGTTGCACAAGATTGCATGTTGCAAGAATTCTCTTAGCACTGTGTAGACTATTCAGTCACTTTCACATCAGTGGTTGTGTGTCATGATGAGGAGAAAACGGAGTAGCCTATCTGACCAGCTGTTACTGACAACTAGTTTCACAAACTGGCTACAAACAGCAGAAATGCATTTCTCTTTCAGTTTATTCTGTGTCATTGTGACAATATGTCAGAAATGTAGCAAACAGTTGTACATTGACACAAGCATAATCATATAGCCCACAGCTGGAAACATAACCATATATCTGACCTCTGAGTGTAGCTGTCCAGAGAATGTGATTGGAAGCAGTGAAGCCGTCCATAAGTAACAAAGTCCTCTGAGCATGACGGTGAATTCAAAACCATTGAGTGGTTTCCCTTGTTTATTAAAAATACAGTTTAATTTGCTTATTTCTCCGAGGAGCTGCTATCTTTAACAGCAGGAAATTACAAAACTAAGACCAGCCTTATGAGAATCTCTCTGTCTTTTATGTCACTAATAGGACTGCTGTAGCCTACTTCAACAAACAGGTGAGAGTTTGCCAGAGTTGATGCGACGACTCTGACCTAACCTGGGGATGAACTGTCATTTCAGACCACTGATTTTCCTCGTGCATTATTCTCCCGTCCAGGCCTCGCCTCCAAACAAAGATAATTCAGCAGCTGTCAAACTTAGTCCTGCCTCTATACCTGACATTTGTAGTCTTCACATCGGTTCAAGGTCATTTAAAGCAAGTATTACTCACGGAAGAGAAGACTACATGTCCCACAAACTCATTGGAAGGAAGCTTTAGTATGGCCAATCAGACGACACCACGTCTCGGTCTTTTCATATTACTCATGTGAGTGCAATTTGTTAGAATTAAATAATAAAGGCACGTGCCATAGTAGAACAAAAAACAGACACTTATTGATTCGGATTGCAGTATGTGGGTCAAGTCAGCCGTCGATCACATACACAACCACTCAGCTCAGTAGCTAACTTCTTTCAAAAGTTGGCATGAATGAGAACCATCAAGAAAAAATACACAGAAATATAACATTTCACGACACAGGCCTACAAACGGATTTGTGAGACTGGAAGTGGCAGATTTTGTGAATTAAGATCGGATATTCGCATGATAAGGGCAAGTTTGACTATGACAGGGGTCTTGAGTTGAGATGCGCACAAGCACGAGATATTGTCTGTCAAATTACACTGTACAACAATAACAATAAACACTGATGTTGAATTCAGGAAATAGCTGGCTAAGTGTCTCTAGCCACCCATTTTAATAATTATTTTTGACAAGTCCGTGTGTATCGATGTGAAAGGCAAAATAAACAATTTGATAAATATATACATGTTATGCCCTGATGTCCATAAAGTTGGATAATGCAACCTTAGGGCGCCAGAAAGCTATCTGGGTATGATGACGTCAAATTAACGTGACAGTAGAAAATGCTAGAAGATTTTTCATTTAGCCTTCCTAAACGGACATTGATATTGCAATATATTGTAACTTGTAAGTTGAATGTACTTACGTGACAAAAACAGCTCTGGTCTTGACTGTCAGGAGCATCTTCTTTGGAAGAATATTGGTTGTTGTAGGTTTTGGTTTTGACTCTGTTGTGAAACCAACCCAGAACAAAGTCCCCAAATAACAACCACAACAAAACCAGAAGTCCTGCAGATTGTATCGTGTTTTTTATCATCACTGATGCAAATGCAACGCGCCACGAAACACAAAAACAAAGAACCGTTTTGAAAAGTAGATGGCTAGTTGGCAGGCTAGCTAATGATGTGCTACTAGCTAGTGCGCACTAGCAACAACAGCGGCGAAAAGCTTATTCGCTTGTCGTAATGATAACTGCTGGATAAATGAAAGTGTCCTCAGAAGTAACTTGTGAAAATATCTTTAGTATTACCAGTAGTCGTTATAAATAATATTCACAACGCCGAAAATCCCAAGTTTTGCCATCTAATAAAACACAGTTGTCGACCCAAGACGATTGGTTAAAAAAATAAAAAACTCGTCTACGGAAAGCAAAGAGGTGAAGGACGTACAGTAAAAATGAAAATGATTTTACTGCGTGCTCATGTGACTTGTTATAATAGCCTAATGAAAATACACTGTAATTTGTGGCAGTGTCATTTCTGCAGCCCTAGCTGATGTATTGTTTACATGCTTTTATTTTGACATGTATTCATATTTAGGCTCTAGTTCGGTTTTCCTTTGGTCCTAAACTTTAAAACATTGTCAGTGATGATTTGCACTGAGTTGGAGGAGGCTGGCCAAAGAGACAATCTCGAGATCTCTGCATCAGACCCTCTGGGGGAAAAGCTGATTGGCTGCAAGGCTGTTTGGTGAAAGGAGGAAGATGCTGATACCTCCTCAGAGAGTGGAGACATTTCCTGGTCCTTTGCCATTTTTCCTAGGTGTGAGGAGGAGGTCATCGCTCTGCAGGAGGAAGGTGTTCCTGTAGAGCGGCCTACCCCCAGCACTATGGAGAGGAAGGGCTCCAGCAGAAGCCAGTCCAGGTTAGCCTCCCCTGTCCAACCAGCTTGTCACAGAGGACACTCTGCTTGAAGTAGCTGAAGTGGAGGACCTTGGTGATGCCGATGAAAAGGAGACTGACTTAAAGCTCTTGGGCAGAGAGGTTTCTCTATGGCAAAGCCAAGTTCTCTGCCTGGTAGAGGTTCCGCAACTACCTGAGGAAGAAGACGAGATCTTCCTCAGAGCAGACCCCCAGGATGGAGAACCTGGACCAGGACAGGCTGCTGCATGCCCTACTGGCAGTTGTTTAAACTGTTCTGCAAGAGCAAATACAATGCCATTCTATTTTGCCTTGCACATATTAATAATAAAAGGAAAGAAATTGGAATTACCTCTCATGTGTTCCTTTGACATTAGTTAAGATAAGACATATAGCTAGATACAGTAGGTACGTTATAGAGTTCAGCAGGTATTTATCACACACAAACCATAAAAAGGAAAAACCAACACAAAAAAAACATACAAAATAAAAACCAAGGAGGCAGAGATTCAAAAAATATAAAATTCCATACTCAATTGCTAACTAGCTTCAGACACCCATATACTTCCAGTCATTGCGTTGACGCTAGTTAGTTAGCATTGGCTCGGGAAACTACCTATAGCTTCCTTCATACTGGACACAGAGACATACAAATGATATCCACAAGTTCATCTGACTCTTGGGAAAGAGATACAGGGCATCATTGCCAAAATCCTGAAGTATCCCTTTAAGGGGAGAAATTAGACTCGGGATGAGGTCAGAGGTGTGAGCTCGCAAAACACAGGTTCGAAACCACGTTGATCACATTGTTGCTACTACCCTCGGACTTCAGGCTTCTCCACTAAGTGTCCTCACACACCAAGCCCAAAACACCTACAGATCATGCTTGCCCAATGCCACGTGAGACCACTGGAGGGATCACTGCTGCCACCAGTGTAGCGGGATAAAGTGAGACTGCCACAGGGACTCGGACAGCGGCGCCTACGATGCAGAGGCACGCACCTAACGGACTGTGGCACAGAAGCTCTGGACAGAGGAAGTGTTGTGTTCGAGACCACCTAAAGCGAGACCGATTCAAGACCAAGACCGGAGCAAATCGAGTCCGAGTCAAGACCAAGACCGGGAGGGGGAAAAGGGGTCCGAGACCGAGTCAGAAAAATATGAGTCCAATTCAAGACCATGATTGTAATTTTGTCAAATCACCACCATAATAAGAGTTAAAAATGTCCAGTATTTCTGTGTTCATATTTCAGAACAACATATGGATTCTTTAGACATTCAGAATAGTGAAAAAATGCATGCTGAGGGAAAATAGAGCCACTACAAATTATTACTAACCCAAGCACAGAGGGGAACAATGGGCCTTCTACGCCTTCAGAGAAGGGCTAAGGATTTATAAAATAATGATTATGATAATATTATAATTATATTATTATTTTCAATGATGCTCTGATTTAATCTCTTCAGTTTTTGTTGGAAAGGAAAGATCCAATCAGAATTTTTCTTTGCTGGTCTCTGGGGAGATAAATCTAGCTAGCTAAGTCAGCCATTGGCTAGGCCATTAGAAGCTAGATAAAGGCATCTGCCATTCAACTGTATTAGGGCAATATTTTGGAGTGACAGTGGAATCAACCAATCACATTTTGACTCAATGAGTGGGACTGTTTTTCCAAAAACCTATGGAAGTTTCTGCCTTCTTGAAGGTCAACAGGTCACTGGGCAAAAGCCAGCAGTAGTTTTCTCAAGGTCTAGCTAGCTTTTGTTGCCGGCTAGTTTGCAGCGGCTGCAGCAGGTGTTATCAAAGAGGATGTTGTTGCTAATTTGTTAGCTTCTCCCTTTTCAAGAATAACTTTCAACGAGAAGTTAAGTTTCAAATCATCTGGTGAGTGGAACTGTGTTTTTTTATTGCAGGGCGCTTGCTGATGTTAGCCATCTCTTTGAAAATAACTTATGTGAAACATTGTTGCATTTAAAGTGGAACTGACAGCATTTTAGCAATATGAAATCTTATTAAAATCTGTTCATATACACCCCCAGGAAGAATATGACACTTTAAAAAAAAGAAATCTGACAAGCGACCACTTAGATATGGTCATTTTCACGTTTTTATAAATTCTTAGAATGTTTGGGAATTACGTATATGTCACGAGAATGTTGTTATCTCAATGGTTGAAGTCAAACACTTCTTAAATATTTGAATAATTCCCAGAGGTGTAAATCTATAGTTTAAATAAATTAAACAAAGACCCCTTTTTTGCAATGGTCAGCCCTTATTCATGAGAGAGCGCTCTGCCACAAAATGGACGTACAATATTTTTATACACACACGTCAGAGGAAAAATCCCTCCCCGCTTTAGGCGGGCTGTATTTTTCCACTGTACACATCTTGTAAGCTCACACCTGGGTTTAGCTCATGTGATTATCCTCTGCTCTCCTGACCATCAGGTCACACATACATACACACAACACACATTCTTATCATAGTCTACTCCTTGCTCGGGCAGGCTGCATTTTTTGTCTATTCCCATACATAGTTATCTCACAATATCCTGCAAGCCTTTCACTCCCCTTCCCTGTGTGTTTTTGGAACCAGTCTCCTGTTATTGGTTTAAATCGTTTTGCACTTCTGCTTGCCTAATTACAAGACACAAATACTCTGTTGTTGGGCAAATATGCATCTTATATAAACACATTTGATTAACTCTCTAAGCTCTAGTCTACTAATAGTCATACATTATTAATTTAACTGAGGGTGTGACATTTTAGTCATATCTTACTCACACATTTCTTTATCAGTATAATAAGGCATTTGTGAAAATCCTATAGCAATATAGAGTGGGAAAGTGGCCGTGCATTTGGACAATTAATAGACACTGCAGTAAATAAAACCAAATAAAAACATCTGTCTTGTCCAGGACTGGAGTCTACACAGATGGTGCGCTATAGCCAATCAGTAGACCTTTATACAAACAAGCCATTTTCACTTTGAACTGGACTGTGTGTTTACAGGCAGTTGCAACAGTGCGACTTTAGATCATTAGAATGCATTCTCCAAAAGCCACAAAATACACCTGAATGGATTTCTGCAAATATGTAAACACCACGGGAGTCCTCTTACATTTGGGAACTTTACAGTCCTATTGATCAAGGGGCTCCCGAGTGGCGCAGCGGTCTAAGGCACTGCATCTCAGTGCTTGAGGCGTCACCACAGACCCCCTGGTTCGATTCCAGGCTGTATCACAACCGGCCGTGATTGGCAGTCCCATAGGGCGGTGCACAATTGGCCCAGCGTCGTCCGGGTTTGGCCGGTGTAGGCCGTCATTGTAAATAAGAATTTGTTCTTAACTGACTTGCCTAGTTAAATAAAGGTTAAAAGAAAACATGAAAGGGTAGGCTCTCCCTCAGTTATGCACATCAACAACAATACCAACAACTAATGCAAGATGAGCTAAAATCTAACGAAGGAATATTAAACTTTTTCAGCTAGTTGGCCGTCACAATTGCACTGATAAACAATGGAGAATTGTAGCCTCCTCGTCCTTCTGCAGCTTGCCTGCCAATGCATGCTTGTCCCAACAAAGCACCCAAGCTAACTGGCAAAAGTTGGCTAGCTTGCTAGCTAGCTACCTACCTACTTCCAGACACAAATGAGAGAACACCTCGCTCTGACCATTTTACTCACCGTAGCAGAGTTGGTTAGGCTGTTAACATTTTATTGACTAACTATTACTTTTTTTGCCTATGTTTACTGACACCGGTCATATACAGCAGGTGTTGCGCGTTCGTAAATTCATCAGTTGTTCTGTGCTAAATCAGAGTAGATAGCCAGAGTGAATTTGCGAACGCAAGAGATATGCTAACTGTGTAACAGTCGTTCAAGTTCTTGCTAGCTAACCAAATGACACCTGCATCTCTAGCTGTGTATAGCCACCGAAAAGCGATTTGTGGGGGAAAAGTCAGTCACTCACCAACTCATCCAATGACATGACATGACATTCTCCTAGCAGCTAACTAGCTAGCTAGTGTAGTGTCTTAGAGTCTAGGATTTTGCTGATGTTTGCAAATGGTGTAACAGATGAACTTTACTCTACTTTGCTGAAACATCTGGAAAGCATTACTAAAGTTCCTGGAAAAAAGGATATGGGGAGATATGTGAAAAAGGCCAGGGATTGGATATTAAAATCACGCCATACTATGTCATATATGATATAAATACCATGTCTTGAACAGAGAGAGGGGGGAATAGCGAATTACAGAATTGGCTCTTGCTGTTCTTCAGATATCTGCAGGTATCTGTAAATCTGACGCTGAAACTCTTTGTTATAATAAACCTTTATAAACAAAGTACAGTGTCGGCGGACTTCTTATCATCACGGCATTATCAGCAAAGGTTTGTGTTCGGCCACCACACTAGCTAACGTTAGGCTCTGTGTTTTTAGCTTGCTACATAAATAGGTACGCTAGCCTATTAGCCACGTTATGACTGACTTGTGATCATTGAACTTACTAGTTAGATTTTATTGACATTCCCAGCTTCAGTTACATTCGTCCATTTCTGTCCAGAATATAGAGTAATTGAAACTGAAACAGTGTATCCCGTATGGTGGCAGCAAACAATGTACCAGGCCGGCTGTGATTTACATCCTGATAGCAATATTTTTTGGACTACTAAGAAATGTATTGGTGAATTATATTAATCATGCATTGAACTGCATCCATCTATTCAGCCAACAATGCCTTAGTGTATGTCATGGAACGTTGAGTCAAATAGAACCTATTTTGAAAACCTCTTATAAAGTTGTTTTTGTAGCATAAACTGGGAATTTTATATTTTTGACTGATATTATGATTGTCTGTTTGTTTCATATCTGTAAAGTAGTTAAAACGCTGTCAGTTCCACTTTAAACTTTAGGTCACTGGTTACTTTGTGTGCTAAACGTGAAATGTTTTTTGCAATGGGAAGTAATAGTTGTACATTTCGATTTCGAAATGCTTAATGGTTGTGTTTTTGTAATCTTATGATTGGGACCTACTGGCTTATTATGTCCGAGTATATGGATTTTTTTTATCCTTTAAAATCATGCTGTGTGTGACTGCTGTCTTTCCATCGGCCCTATGTGGTGGCGTAGTTGTGCCTGGAGAAGTGGGTATACTCTAATATTGTCAAAAAGTTCCCAAAAGCCTGCCAAGCGAAGGAAAGGCCCCCTGTGTGAAAAGTCCTATGTTTTCCTGTTTTTTATGAGTTCTCCAATAGATTTTTTTGATTTTCACTCCCAAAATCAAACTTTTTTTAAATAGAAAAAACATTGATGGTCTAAGTCTACACCAATGCTTAAACCACATCAATCTGATTGGGTGGGCCTGTCAGGGCCTGGCTCCCCAGCAGGTGGGCCTCTGTCTACCCAGGCCCATCCATGTCTACGCCCCTGATACAAACTGTGCATGATGACAATTGCGCATCACAAATAGCCTACTAACCAACACTTCGGATTACATTTTTTCAATACCTGGTTTGCATACCCATTGTTGCCTTAGTTAGCATTTGCTGGTAGATATCATAAATTGAAACGTATTTCTTACTGTGGTGTATTGAGAAATGTATTATGTGTTAATGAGTTTAGATTTAAAATGGTTGCAAATAGCCAATGGGATTTGTATGCAGAAGTTGAGTTATTTTAATTAACAAATGACAATGGGGTTTCCGTTCTTGCATTGAAGTGATTGGATTACGAGATGCAAGGGCAGAAAAAATTCAATGATGTAAAGGAGAGTAGTTGATTGGAATGTGTTAAGGTGAACATGAAATAAATAAGTTCTGGTTGTTTTAAGTACGCTTCGGAGTCATCAGTAAAAGAACCCAGCATTTTAGGATGCACACTTACCCTACCGGCTCCGGATGTCAAAACCAGTTGAGAGCTGCACACGCTTGCTGCCTGCAGATGATATTCCGTTGAAACTAGGCTATGTGTGCAGCGCGCGTGTGAATATATTTCAGGTGCTTTGCAATTGTGTAGGCTACTTTGTGCATGATTTCTCTATTGTACTACATAATTGATAAATCGTATACCTCCACTACACTACTTCGATACGCATCAGTAGGGATTAAGAAGTGAGTATAAGCAATGCCCACTGAAAAAAAAGTGGGTATACGGTTTATACCTCTGCATACCCTACACTACTGGCCCTTTGTGTTTTACAAAAAGTGCACTCTCCTACATGAATGCGCTGGTATTACGGTTGCTGTCCTTTCAGAATCTCGAACATGTCACACATTGAAGGCCTATAGGTATATCTATTACAAACATGTCTGTAATAGATATAAAGGCTCTTAAGATATTCATATTTCAAGAAAGGAGTGTATATATTTGGCCTGTCGAAGCGGTTTTATGCGCTGACTGAATGGAAGCTGGTTTTTATGAGTTTTTTACTCCGCTGGTCTCGGGAAGAAATTACGAGTCCTCACTGTCCGAGTACAAACGTTTCCGACACCGAGACACTCAATATGTGGTCTCGAGACGGAGTACTACAACACTGGGCAAAGGCAGTAGAAACACTCACATACACGGTGTTACATTTATTTTGAAATAACTTCAATACCTACCCAAAAATATATTTCAGTGACAATCTACTTGAATGTTGTTCTTCTTAAAAATGTCACAAAAATTAACAAGAGTTTTGAAAGGATTCCTGTTCAGCATTCTACAAAGAAAAAACAGGAGTACAGCCCTCCTTCACCCGTAGTGGTATGAATTTGTATGACACCTAAACAATAGTTCCTGGCAGGTGTGTATTGTGTACACTCGAGTTGTGTAGCAAGCTGGTTAGCTCCTTGGATGTGGAAACGTTTCATACAAGCGTCGGGCGCCCATTTTACGATTGGTGATAGCTACTACCTAGACGTCAAATGCGACAGGTAAGAGGATAGCTACCTTTCCCGGTTTGCCAAATTCAACAAACAAGCATTCATTAGCAACTTCCTGTATCACATCTGGCCTGGCCAGTCTTGACCGCAGTCTAGCACAGTTAGCTCGCATTAACAAGGTGGCTACAGGTAGCTATCTAGCTAATACGTCTACAATTAAGCGAGGATTTAAACAACGTATATTATCTAGAATCTAGCTATCTAGATGTTTATCGTCTGTATTTTTGCATGTATTGTTTGACTACCTTGCGTAGCTAGCGAACTATTTTACGCTATCTAACGTTAGAACTTTATTGTTGCAGTGGCTAGCTAGCTAACGTTAGCTACCACAACTTAGTTTTGTTGTTCCTTTGTCATTTGCTAGCTAACTTAGTAAGGTGTGTTCATTAGTTAGTTGACTAATGTACCTAACTACCGTATTTATGCCGGGAGGACTCTGGGTTGGCTAGTTAGGTGTGTGGACTTACAAACATGGTCGACAATAGCAACTTGTCTCATTAGACCACCTTGTCCTTTATTTAGTTAGCTTTTTTTTGGGCTTTCCAGCGTCAGCCACGATCGTCAAATGAAGGCAATTTTAAAAGATTGCCCCAACAATCGTAACCTCAAGCCTGCCATGAGATTACCCTAACAAGAAATAGTGGGGAGAAGATGGCTGCAGAGCTCTTTCCCACCAAGAAGCTGGCCCCAGCATCCTCAACCAACACAGCTGTGCAGCAATACCAGCAGCAGAACCTGAATAACAACAACACCATTCACAGCTGCAATTGGCAAGGGCTCTATCCTACCATCCGAGAGAGGTAGGTGACCCTAGTAAGCAGTAGTTAAACTGGGATTCTACTGCCTTTTGAGGGGAGACGATGTGAATTTTCAAAGATTTAAAATGGCCAAAGAAAACCAATTTCTTGTGTCTACCAGCTCTTACATGCAGATACTGAAGTCTGAATGTGATGCCATCAACACTGTTTACTAATCATATGACTCATGCTTTCACAGGAATTCTGTCATGTTCAACAATGAGTTGATGGCAGATGTTCACTTTGTCGTTGGCCCCCCAGGAGGGACTCAGCGAGTACCTGGGCACAAGGTAATCAATCCCCTTTAAACCTGTCCAACGTATATGAGGACTTCACTGAGCAAGACAACAAAACACAACAGATGTACAGATAGATTTATCTGTTGAGTCTGCTAAATGACCAAAATGTAAAATAAAATGCAATTGGCTGACATTTCTCCACACCAGCCTCTTTATGCTAAATCCTTTTGCAAATATCTACATTTATATTACACAATGTGTAAATGTTTATTCTCTCTACCCTACCATCATCCCACCATAACTTTCTCCTCTTCTTTGCTGCTCTTCATTTTCTCATGTGACTCCCTATCTTCCATGTTGTTCCCTAGTATGTGCTGGCTGTGGGGAGTTCTGTGTTCCATGCCATGTTTTACGGTGAACTGGCAGAGGACAAGGAAGAGATCCGTATCCCTGATGTGGAGCCTCCCTCGTTTCTAGCCATGCTGAAGTAAGTGGCCGGCGCCTCCTGACATCTCATTAGATGCAGTCCCAGTGTTCATTGTACATTTCAGAATGAGGACTACCTTAGTCATTTGAAATGTAGGCTAATTCGCCATAGGTCATAATGGTGGTATGGTATTTGCACTAAGCTACAAAGGAAGAATGCCTCTCCGATTGAATGATGGGACCCTCCAAGTTTTTTTCCAGATGAAAAGTTTTACTTGGCCGTATTCAATGTGTTTGAATATTCAGCAATGTAATGGCATATGAAATGATAAGGTTGGCCTTCCAATCATAAATGAGAAGTTGAAGTGAGTGTCGAGCCCTCATCTGACTCTCCCCGCTCTGGTCTGGCAGGTACATCTACTGCGACGAGATCGACCTGTGTGCCGACACGGTCCTGGCCACGCTCTACGCTGCCAAGAAGTACATCGTGCCCCACCTGGCGCGGGCCTGCGTCAACTTCCTGGAGACGAGCCTGAGCGCCAAGAACGCTTGTGTGCTGCTCTCCCAGAGCTGCCTGTTTGAGGAGCCCGACCTGACGCAGCGCTGCTGGGAGGTGATCGATGCCCAAGCCGAGCTGGCGCTGCGCTCAGAGGGCTTCACAGACATCGACTCGGTGACCCTGGAGAGTATCCTGCGCCGCGAGACGCTCAACGCCAAGGAGATGGTGGTGTTCGAGGCAGCATTGAGCTGGGCCGAGGCCGAATGCCAGCGCCAGGACCTGACGCCCACCATTGAGAACAAACGGCTGACGCTGGGCAAGGCCATCTACCTGATCCGCATCCCCACCATGACGCTGGATGACTTCGCCAACGGTGCGGCACAGTCGGGCGTGCTGACGCTTAACGAGACCAACGACATCTTCCTGTGGTATACGGCAGCCAAGAAGCCTGAGCTGCTTTTTGCTAGCAAGCCACGCAAGGGCCTGGCGCCGCAGCGTTGCCACCGCTTCCAGTCGTGCGCCTACCGGAGCAACCAGTGGCGCTACCGGGGCCGCTGCGACAGCATCCAGTTCGCCGTGGACAAGCGAGTGTTCATCGCCGGCTTCGGCCTGTACGGCTCCAGCTGCGGCTCAGCCGAGTACAGCGCCAAGATTGAACTCAAGAGGCAGGGTGTGCCGCTGGGCCAGAGCCTCATCAAGTACTTTTCGGACGGCTCCAGCAGCACATTCCCAGTGTGGTTTGAATACCCTGTGCAGATCGAGCCCGACACATTCTACACGGCCAGCGTAGTGTTGGACGGCAACGAGCTCAGCTACTTTGGCCAGGAGGGCATGACTGAGGTGCAGTGTGGCAAGGTCACCTTCCAGTTCCAGTGCTCCTCGGACAGCACCAACGGGACGGGTGTGCAGGGGGGGCAAATCCCTGAGCTCATCTTTTACGCTTGAGGTGTCGAACGTGAGGGAATCGTAACCCTTCCTCTTTACTGCCACAGTAAATGCACCACTCCGGATGTTGAGCAAGCATCAGCTCTTAACTATGGGTTTAAAAGTGTACCTGGTTTGGAAGAAAAAAAACATATCCAATGGTGGTTTAGTTCAATATTCAATTGCCTTATGAGTATGTCAGACCGTATTTTGACTTAAAACTGGGTTGCAGTGACCAAATATTTTCTTCTTTTAAATGAAGGATAGGCATTTGTTCAGGGTTGGTCCTAACACATTTAACACTATGTTCACTAATTTGTTTTACTGTTTATGAAGCACAGTTCTCATTTAACAAGATTATTAGAATGTTGTAGGTAGGTTTTTGTTTTTACTTCAAACATTCCTATTCTTTTTCAAGTAAAACACTACAACTTGAATACAAGATATTTCAACCTGTGCAAGAAACTCGACATTGATGTAGAGGAGACTTAGGGTATAATCAAATATTTTTGTACTTCGTAACTTGATAAATAGTTTAAACATTTGATGGTGCAATTTCTAAGATTTTGTATTGTTAACTCATTTTGTGTTGCTAATATTGTTACCTCTCAATCTAAGTATCTCCTTGGGTTTTCTGTGAGATTAATAAACTGAGAATAGACATCAAATGGCAATGTAAACCTGTGCTGAGGTTTAAGATACTTGAGTATGTTGCCGTCTCAGTGTAGGCCCAAGTATGTATAGTTAACTTTTTCTTGCACTACTATTGGTCCTCTTTTCAAACGGGACAGCCTTTTTGTATCTTGCTTACTTGTATACACTTTAATTTAGGGTGATTTTTTCCCCCCTTGTTTTCTCTGAAAATCAGTATGAAGTGTTGAAGAACGAGATTCCAATGAGAATCGTGCTGTGAGTTTGACAGTGTCAATGGACCTATGAATGTGTACTGTTGCATATAAATTAGAAAATAAAATTAACCAGTTCTGTAAAATTGTGTAGTCATTTTTTTATATAAAGAAGTATTTTAAAGGGCTCAGACTGGGCCTATAGAGCAGGTTTGTATAATTTAGAGCCCCATCAAACCACCATTTACTGTTGGCAGTCCTCCAGAACATGGTTTATACAAGCGTCTCAATGCAATTAGCATATTCTATGTTCAACTTCGTGTTCCTGATTAGGCCTCTTTTCTAGAGTGATAGTTCACAAAAGTGGGCAAGGCTTTTGTCTCAGGCCTGACAAACACCAACAGTATCTTCATCACAAAGAGATAGTGTAGCGTAAGGCCGCTGCACATAGCTGCTGGTTAAGAGCAGTCCATAGCTTTTCACCCAGAAACGTAGTCCTCAATAGTCCAGTTAGAAAGGCCTACATGGTCTTCTGTTTCTTTCTTGCTTGAAACTGCTCTGTTTTGTTCTTAATAGACTTGATGAGCATGGACAGTCCGGGGTCCATTTTCTTGGTGGGTTCAGCCACCGCCTGGCCACTGGTATCTGTTTCCTGTTTATTTTCTCCCACTTCCTGTGTGGGCGGGGCCTGTGAGCTCTTGAGCGCCTCGTCCTGGTCGCGCTGGCGCTCCTCCCTACGGCGCTGCTTCTCGACCTGGATGCTCTGGGTGGCCTTGGTCTTCTTGTAGCCCGGGTCGGACGGGTCCAGGTTGTAGAGGTGGGAGGTGAACATGGCCTGGAAACGAGGGTCCTTCACGTCCACCTGTAAGTCAGAGAGAAGGGATGAGGGGGATGTTGAGATTTCATTGGTCTACAAAAAAGCCTTGACAGTAAAACAAATTGTGCATCGTAAGGCCACAGAAAAATGGTCCTTAATTAAAGTGAATGAACTTTGGCAAAGTTGTATGTGTACCAATTCCACCTTATTCCAGGTAATTTAACCTAAATTCCCCTATCAATAAGTGTTTTCATTAAGCTTCTGATTTGAGACGTTTAAGAAATCATTCATTGATGTCAATGGGAAACGATGGTTGAAAACACAAGTCAAAATACCGCCTGTTGAGTACAAGCTATTTCTTTGCCATGAAAAGAAACCAAAAGGCTGCTCCGACCTGGAAGTCGTCCTCCTCCAGGCTCGTGTTGTCCTTCTTCAGAAGCTTCTTCTTCTTCTTTTTGCTCAGGTTCTGCTCCTCGACGATCTTGTCGTAGTTGAAGTGTTTGTGCTTGTCGTCGTCCTGGTCGTCCATTAGCAGGGCCATCTCAGCCTGTGGTTTTATGGAGAAATAAAATGGGTTACTTTTGATTAGCTTACTCACAAACCTTGTCAAAATGTAATGTGCAGCATTCAGAATACCAGTAACTGTATTAAGTCCATTGCATTAGTGTATACGAGTGCTTCAACCCCACATGTCACTGACACCTACCTTTTGTTTTTCCAACTCCTCCTCCTCTTCAGGTGTCCTCTCCTCCACCTTTCTGTTTTTCTTGCTCTTTGCTTTCTTTTTCAGATCTGGCAGATTAGGAAAAAAAACAAGTCATGGCCAAATCATGCATAAAAGCATATTGTGATACTTTTTACCGGTGTACTCAAGTAAATGTGCCAACTGATTGAGTATGATTCACGACGCGACTCACCCGTAGAACCAAGCTCTTCAGCAAAGAACGGGTCATCAAAGTCAACGTCTGGAGGAAGCTCATCGTCACTGAGGTCCGAATCATCTGATTCCTGAAGGAAATAAAAGTCACTCTCCAATACAGTGTGTGAGATACATGTAACAACAATCTTTAATCTAGTGATCTCACCTGCTTTCCTTTGGTCTTCTTCTGCTTTTTCTTGTCCTTCTTCTTCTCAATGAACTCTTCCCAGGGTGTCAGCTTGTCCTTTCCTTCTAGCTTCTTCTTCACCAACTGTTCAGTTGTCTCCTTCAGTCCTGAGGTGATGAATATGTGAGTGTAATTATGAGGCTGCTTAGTGGTTGGTTGTGCCAACTAAATGCAATTTGTACTGACAAGAGTCAAAGTCACACTATCTGACATATGGGAAAAGTCACACTGACAACAAAAAGTCACACTATCTTACTTATGGGGAAAAGTCGCACTATTGACAATGAAAAAGTGGAAATATATTTTTTGGGGCCCTACCTGGCACCCATGTGATCTCCATCTCCATGCCCTTGTCCTCCTTCTTCTTGTCTTTCTCCTGGATGCTCTTCAGCATCTCTCTGTATTTCTCTATCTGCTTGCCACTGCTCTGCTTCCCTTTCCTGGCCTTCTTCTCCACCTCCTTGCTGGCCTCTTCTGGCTGTTTAACTAGGTGACCAAAGGGGAAATAAAATCCGTGCAACAAACATATGCAATACACATTAAAATAAGTGAAATAACATCTCTCCAGTAATAGTGATTTGTCCCCGGTGGCAATAATCTACCAGCACAAAGAATAATAACCTTAAAGTAGGTTTTGTCCTTTGAGTATACAGGTTTGAAAGGCATTTTATAAAACAAATCAAAATCAAATCACTTCAAGTGTTGTTTTCTTCTTACCCTCTGGAAGCTCCTCTTCCTTCTCCACCGTCTCCATCTCCACTCCATCCTCATCATCGCTGGAGGAGGCCAGGTAGGCGTTGAAATCCATCTGCAGCAGCTCGTCCTTGTTGAACTTCCTGTTCATGGCAGTGACACGCTCGTGGTCCGTCTCGTCCCAGGTCACCTCCACCTTCGGTGAAAAACACACAATAAGTCAGAAATGTAAACAAACACAACCTGAAATATAACTAAAGAAGATGATAGGACTAGGGGGAAATAAAAATGTACGAGATGCAAAAATTCAGCCGAAAAAATAAAAATCTACTAATTTCAATCAGAACAATTCATACTTATTTATTCTGAACAAACATATAAACGCAACATGTAAAGTGTTGGTCCCATGTTTCATGAGCTGAAATAAAAGATAGCAGAAATTTGCCATTTGCACAAAAAGCTTATTTCCCTAACATTTTACGCACAAGTTTGTTTACATCCCTGTTAGTGAACATTTCTACTTTTCCAAGATAATCCATCCACCTGACAGGTGTGACATATCAAGATGCTGAATAAACAACATGATCATTACACAGGTGCACCTTGTGCTGGGGACAATAAAAGGCCACTCTAAAAATGTGCAATTCTGTCAGACAAGGTTGGTCTCAAGTTGAGGGACCGTTCAATTGGCATGCTGACTGCAGGAATGTCCACCAGAGCTGTTGCCAGAGAATGTAATCTTTATTTCTCTACCATAAGCCGCCTACATCGTCGTTTTTGAGAATTTGGCACTACGTCCAACCGGCCTCACAACCGCAGACCACGTGTAACCATGCCAGCCCAGGACCTCCACATCCGGCTTCTTCACCTGCAGGATCATCTGAGAACAGCCACCCGGACAGCTGATGAAACTGTGGGTTTGCAAAACCGAAGAATTTCTGCACAAACTGTCAGAACCGGTCTCAGGGAAGCTCATCTGCGTTCTTGTCATCCACACCAGGGTCTTGACCTGACTGCAGTTCAGCGTTGTAACCGACTTCAGTGGGCAAATGCTCACCTTCGATGGCCACTGGCATGCTGGAGAAGTGTGTTCACGGATGAATCCCGGTTTCAACTGTACCGGGCAGATGGCAGACAGCGTATATGGCTTGTGGGCGAGCAGTTTACTGATGTCAACATTGTGAACAGAGTGCCCCATGGTGGCAGTGGGGCTATGGTATGGGCAGGCATAAGCTACAGACAACAAACGCAATTGCATTTTATCAATGGCAATTTGAATACACAGAGATATCGTGACGAGATCCTGAGGCCCATTGTCGTGCCATTCATCCGCCGCCATCACCTCATGTTGTTTCAGCATGATAATGCACGGCTCCATGTCGCAAGGATCTGTACACAATTCCTGGAAGCTGAAAATCTCCCAGTTCATCCACGGCCTGCATACTCACCAGACATGTCACCTACTGAGCATGTTTGGGATGCTCTGGATCGACGTGTACGACAGTGTGTTCCAGTTCCCGCCAATATCCAGCAACTTCGCACAGCCATTGAAGAGGAGTGGGACAACATTCCACAGGCCACAATCAACAGCCTGATTAACTCTATGCAAAGGAGATGTGTGACGCTGCATGAGGCAAATGAGGGTCACACCAGATACTGACTGGTTCCTGATCCACGTCCGTACTTAAAAAAAAAAAGGTATCTGTGACCAACAGATGCATATCTGTCTTCCCAGTCATGTGAAATCCATAGATTAGGGCCTAATTTTTTTATTTCAATTGACTGATTTTCTTATATGATCTGTAAAATGAAAAAAAGTAGTATGAAAAAAAAATTATGCACTCACTGACTGTAAGTCGCTCTGAATAAGAGCGTCTGCTAAATGACAAAAATGTAAAATCTTTGAAATTGTTGCATGTTGTGTTTATAGTTTTATTCAGTGTACTTAGGGACAATCGCTCCACAGGTGGTAAGCCTGGGACCGACCATGGAGGAGTTAATGCTACGACCATAAGAGTTTATTAGACAGAGTATGCCTAACCTTTGACGTGGCTGCTGCTGTGGAGGTGAAGAGCTTGGGGGTGTAGGCAGAGAGGTCCACGTCTGTGGCCAAGTCTTTTGGCTCCTCGTCAAACGTCACATCATCAGGGACAAACCTGTTCCCACGGAAGGGACGAGGGACCACCACAACAGTTAGCATGGGAGTATAGCGCCATCCTAATGTTTAGAAGGAACCAGCAGCACAGATAATGGTATCATGCTAATAAGTAGTTAGCATGTGCAAGTGCAATACCTCGATGTACGATGATATACTGGTAATATATTAGGCAAGGATGAGATTCATCACTATGTAAGCAATTATGTTATTCTATGTATTGATAATATAGTGTACCACCACCTCTCTTTTGAGGACAGCTTCATTACCATGCTTTACGTTATCAAGTTATAGAGTACATTCTATTAGACTTTAATTGAACACATTTTCCTCCAGTGTACACTTTCGTATAAATGAGTGTCTGTCTATTCCCTCACCGGAGGTCCAGGATGGAGCAGCTGCTCTCGTACTCAAAGCCGTCACACTCCTGGTAGATTTTAGCGGCTGTGTCGAGCGAGTCGCACTCCACCACCGCATAGTAGTACTTTAGCCGCTTGAACTGGTAGTCCCGCATCTTCTCTCTGTAAATCCTGCAATTCACACACACACACATAAATTAATAACAATTCACTTTTCATAGAAACTATTTCACTGCCTATCTTTGATCTGGTATGACCACTACATTTCATCTCCGGTTAATTTTTGGTAGAATAATACAGAGATGATAGGGATGTGTGAATGGGGTAGCTAGATCATACTTCTCCTCCTCTGTGTCTTTGTCCGGATCCTCTGGCAGGGCCATCAGCTCCAGGGGACCCTGGGTCTGTTCCTGCTGAATCCGCTCCTTCCCAAACTCTGAGGGGTAGATCTAAAAAAAACACACAGTGTTAAACATATATAATATTTGTGACTTGGTCTGGTGAAGCAGTGTCACATCCATCGTAATTGAGTGACAGCCAGAAGGCAAATTAATGGAGCCTTACCTTCACAGAGAGCACAACCCCTCCTTTAGGCTTGAAGGAGTTAAACAGAGCCAGCAGGTCCTTGGCTTTCATCCGGTCCCAATCCATGTTACACACGGCCAGCCTTTGGGTTACCTGTTGTAGTAAAAACCGACAACATTGGAACATGCAATTTCTTATGTCATTTTAGATGACGAAAGGAAATGAGTAGAGGAAGTCCCTCTGGACAATTGACACACAGCCTTAGACCTCCTCACCTCCTCGCTCCGCGGCGCGTCCTTGCACAGCTCGCCCCAGTCGTGCTGGATCTCCTCCTCCTCGCGTTTCAAGACGGCCTCCACGTCATCATCGCTGTCCTCGTCCGAGCTGGTCTCCACATTGCCTTTCCCCCTGGCCAGATCTGGCCCGCTGCCGTCACTGTCCTCGTCTGACTCTGAACCGGACTCGTCCTCTGAGCCGCTCTCCACGTCACTCTCCACATTGCCTTTCCCCCTGGCCAGATCTGGCCCGCTGCCGTCACTGTCCTCGTCTGACTCTGAACCGGACTCGTCCTCTGAGCCGCTCTCCACGTCACTCTCCACATCTGCTTCCTCATCTTCATCCTCGTCATCATCTTCCTCACTGCCGTCTGAAATGCTGGCCGCCAGGTCCACATAGTCCCCATCCCCCTCAACGTGAGGCACCTTGTCATCTTCCTCTCCTGTAAAAACAGCATGTATTGATTGCAGCAACAAACTTCAATACAATGCATGGATTGTATGAGCATATACTGTATGTAAAAATAAGGTGTTTCTGGATTATTCTTTTTTTGCAACAATTTCTAAAAACCTGTTTTCGCTTTGTCATTATGGGGAATTTGATGAGGATTTTTATTTATTTAATCCATTTTAGAATAAGGCTGTAACGTAACAAAATGTGGAAAAGGGGAAGGGGTCTGAATACTTTCCGAATGCACTGTATAAAATCTCCACTTGGCCGCAGCAGCAGCTTTGCTAGGACTGAGCAAGCGGGTCAGAGGAAAACCATCATCATCTCTAGGGCTATATCTTTATGCATGTCTTCAATCCAACTCAATGTTTAATGCATTTTCTGTACTGACCATGCACACTCAAAGGACTTTACACACTCACACTCCAACACACACACTTCATTTGCTCACACATAACACGCACACACATTCATACTGACTCTACACTCATGCACACACACACTCATCATATATACACGCTGCTGCTACTCTGTTCATCATATTTCCTGATGCCTAGTCACCTTATACCTATACATAGACCCTTTCCAGTACGTGACACACTGACGTCACGCAGATATGCACGCGACTCTTGGCGGCAGTAAGAAAGCCATCACTATCTGAGCCCATTCAACATAGCCTAGACTTACATTTGTATTACTTCTAAACAAAATCACTTTTTTGGGTTCTCATGCGCTTACAATGATGTTTTGATTCTTGCTTGAACAGTCACTAAGATTATATTTTGGTTGTGATCTTTGCAAAATAACTATTTTGGTTGCCGCAGTTGTTAGCTAGAATGCTAACGCTCCTTGATATAGGCTGTAGCAACAGCTAGCCAAAGATACATTTTACTGGTTGAAGTTGAAGTGTTTTTTAAGTATAATGTAGCTGATTTGTGATGATGACACAAACATTATATTAAGCAGGACGTTCATACCAGCCTTAAAATCCCATTATAATCCTAAAGTAGTGTGAAATGCACTCATAGGCAACATGTAAATAGAGGCTTTTTTTTGGCTGGCGTTCTATAAGAACTCTGCCTTGTTCTGCCACCAACTTGCGCGCATCGCCCTCGTGCTGCAATGTTTGTAAACACAGAAAGGGGTCTATATCTACCCCTGCACATTGTAAATATGGTATTGGCACTGACCCTGTATACAGCTTACTTACTTTCTCGTATTCTTCTAATTTCTATTTCTCGTGTGTTTTGTTCTACTTTACTTTATAGGACTACTGATACTGATTACTGCATTGTTGGGAAAGAGCTTTCAAGAAACGCATTTCACTGTACTTGTGCACGTGACAATAAAACTTGAAACATTTCTTTTAACGCATTTGCTTTAGCAGCGGCCCTGAGGTGTAATGCATGTTAGGTCCCCTCTTCTCCTTACCCTCCTCACACAGTCTGACTCCTCTGATAGGCTGGTCTCCTTTAGGTCCACTCTTTATGGACTGTGAAGCTTTCTCTTTCTTCAGAGGCTTTTTAGGCTCATCCACTACCTTCTCCTCTCCCTCCCCAGAGTCCAACTTTGCTTTTGTCTTCTTCTTTTTCTTCTTCTCCTCTTTGTCCTTTCCATCCTCCTTTTCCTCCTCCGAGTCAGAGAGATTGTAGAAACGTTTCAGGTCCTCGGAGGTGGTGTGGTTGACAGGTCGGCCGCGTTTGTCGACCGTGTACTTGAGCTTGAAGCGATCGTCGTGGAACATGGACTGGAAGCGCTTGTCAATCTTGATTTTGTGCTCTTTCTCTGGCATTTCCCAGAAGCGTGGGTCCTTTTTCACTTTTTGGAAGCGGTCATCGCCGCTTTGGCCCTTTTTGGAAGCCATGATGGCTAAGTCGTCGGAGGAGTATCTGTAAAGAGGTCAGACAGTTTGTCAATGGAAGTTAACAGAAAACCAGATTAGTTATTATCCTTTCTACATACACACTACTCTCTTACTTACTAATACTATCATACTTGTCGTAACAACCAAGAACAGCCTACCTCACATGTAAGCTTATTAGAGCAATTTTTGTGCTCAGTACTCAATTCTGATTATGCACATCTATTGGTGTCCAAACTGAACTGAATAGAAGTATTCAATACTGCAGATCAGAAGCTAGTAATGCAGCCTACTGCTATTTACTTATGAAGAGCATAAGTTTAACATCTCTAGTTAGCTACTCTAACTACAGTAAGAGATGGTAGATATTCTCCAGTCTATTGATAGCCACCAAGAAAGATGTTAAAGTAACTAGTCAGGGGCAATTCCATGATCACGGAATTATGCTGAGTCTCCTATTTTTCACTTTAAAGTGTATGACAAACAAAAAACATTGTTTTTGGTGTATACAACTATGCACAATGACTACTTTGAACAATTTACACAGTAAAAAAAAAAAAATTACTGTAAAAATTGTGCAGATGCAAAGTTCGGTAACAGAATTACAGTAAAATCTCCCTCCATTTTATTCTGTTACCAAACTTTGTATCTGCACAGTTGTTCTTGTAAATGTGTTTTTGTAAAATGTTCAGTGGAATTTATTAAAAGTAGTCCTTGCGAATAGAGTTAGATGGTTTGTAAAACTTTTAAAATCAATAGTTTTTGTTTGGTATACATTTTGAAGTGAAAAATGAATACCAATTCCGTTACCATGGAATTGCCCCTAGGTCACTGTTAAACTCAAGCCACAGAGGGCTGAGCATCTGCTGGGTTGTCGTACCTCCCTTATACTTGATTGATGAATTAAGGTAATTGATTAGTAAAGAACATTAGCAAAAACCATCAGACCCTAGATTAGATGAGTTTATTAGTCACATGCACAGGGTCACAGATGTAATTGCAGGGTACAGTTAAATTCTTAAGCTCCAACAGTGCATTGCAAAAAGAGAAGAGAATGAAACGATAAAAATAATAAATACATATTTACAACTTTAACAATGATAGGCCCTCCATAGAATGAGTTTGACACCCCCATAGAGATAGATAGAGGACTCATCTTTGTATCTGTGCCATTATATAGCGTGTTCACCCATAAAATGATTAATTCAATCACAGTCCATTCAATAGAACATTCTGTCAGAAAAACAATAGTCCAAACCCCATGTCTCTACCATATATGGTTCAAAAGTTACTGATGATTTATTCTGAATTTAGCATGTTTAGAGTGAATGGAATGTCCTCACAGGCATGATCAAAAAGTGGTCACTGCTCAATAGAACTCTGTGGTGCTGCTCCGCGGCAAAACGGCGCTAACTTCGAACGTCAACTGACAAGCTAGCTATTGGCTGCAGGTTCGTGAGTGAAAACATGGGCTTTTTATAAATGAAATCCGCTGAATACAAAACTAAATAGGGACTAAATATATATTTATTTACAAAGCTAAAAGACTGAATTTCAATATCCACCCTCCGCAAAGACAATCTATTCCTGTTTTCATTGTGTATTTCTGAGTCGTTCCCTTTAAATCGCCATAGAAACGGCCCCTCAACATAGATTGATCATGGTTATAGGCAATGAAAGTCAAGGATCTGGAGGAGAAAATGACAAAGGTATCAAGTTGATTTTGATTTGTCCAACCAGCGAAACACCTCCAAATAGTACTACCCACAACACCCCAAAAATAGAAGAGAACAAACCAGAGGGGCCCCCAAAAAAGGCCGGGTCCTTTTTTTTAACCATTTTTTTTAAAAAAAGGACATCCGCGTCCCGTGAGTTCTCCACATGCTTCCCCCTGGCCAGATCTGCCCGCTGCCGTAGTCTCGTCTGACTCTGAACCGGACTCGTCTCTGAGCCGCTCTCCACGTCACTCTCCACATTGCCTTTCCCCCTGGCCAGATCTGGCCCGCTGCCGTCACTGTCCTCGTCTGACTCTGAACTGGACTCGTCCTCTGAGCCGCTCTCCACGTCACTCTCCACATCTGCTTCCTCATCTTCATCCTCGTCATCATCTTCCTCATCCTCACTGCCGTCTGAAATGCTGGCCGCCAGGTCCACATAGTCCTCATCCCCCTCAACGTGAGGCACCTTGTCATCTTCCTCTCCTGTAAAAACAGCATGTATTGATTGCAGCAACAAACTTCAATACAATGCATGGATTGTATGAGCATATACTGTATGTAAAAATAAGGTGTTTCTGGATTATTATTTTTTTTGCAACAATTTCTAAAAACCTGTTTTCGCTTTGTCATTATGGGGAATTTGATGAGGATTTTTATTTATTTAATCCATTTTAGAATAAGGCTGTAACGTAACAAAATGTGGAAAAGGGGAAGGGGTCTGAATACTTTCCGAATGCACTGTATAAAGTCTCCACTTGGCCGCAGCAGCAGCTTTGCTAGGACTGAGCAAGCGGGTCAAAGGAAAACCATCATCATCTCTAGGGCTATATCTTTATGCATGTCTTCAATCCAACTCATTGCCCAATGTTTAATGCATTTTCTGTACTGACCATGCACACTCAAAGGACTTTACACACTCACACTCCAACACACACACTTCATTTGCTCACACATAACACGTACACACATTCATACTGACTCTACATGCACACACACTCACATACAATCATCATATATACGCTGCTGCTACTCTGTTCATCATATATCCTGATGCATAGTCACCTTATACCTATACATAGACCCTTTTCCAGTACATGACACACTGGCATCACGCAGAGATGCACGCGACTCTTGGCGGCAGTTAGAAAGCCATCACTATCTGCGCCCATTCAACATAGCTTAGACTTCAATTTGTATTACTTCTAAACAAAATCACTTTTTTGGGTTCTCATACGCTTACAATGATGTTTTGATTCTTGCTTGAACAGTCACTAAGATTATATTTTGGTTGTGATCTTTGCAAAATAACTATTTTGGTTGCCGCAGTTGTTAACTAGAATGCTAACGCTCATTGATATAGGCTGTAGCAACAGCTAGCCAAAGATACATTTTACTGGTTGAAGTTGAAGTGTTTAAGTATAATGCAGCTGATTTGCGATGATGACACAAACATTATATTAAGCAGGACGTTCATACGAGCCTTAAAATCCCATTATAATCCTAAAGTAGTGTGAAATGCACTCATAAGCAACATGTAAATAGAGGTTTTTTTTTGGCTGGCGTTCTATAAGAACTCGCCTTGTTCTGCCACCAACTTGCGCGCATTGCCCTCGTGCGGCAATGTTTGTAAACACAGAAAGGGGTCTATATCTACCCCTGCACATTGTAAATATGGTATTGGCACTGACCCTGTATACAGCTTACTTACTTTCTCGTATTCTTCTAATTTCTATTTCTCGTGTGTTTTTGTTCTACTTTACTTTATAGGACTACTGATACTGATTACTGCATTGTTGGGAAAGAGCTTTCAAGAAATGCATTTCACTGTACTTGTGCACGTGACAATAAAACTTGAAACATTTGCTTTTAACGCATTTGCTTTAGCAGCGGCCCTGAGGTGTAATGCATGTTAGGTCCCCTCTTCTCCTTACCCTCCTCACACAGTCTGACTCCTCTGATAGGCTGGTCTCCTTTAGGTCCACTCTTTATGGACTGTGAAGCCTTCTCTTTCTTCAGAGGCTTTTTAGGCTCATCCACTACCTTCTCCTCTCCCTTCCCAGAGTCCAACTTTGCTTTTGTCTTCTTCTTTTTCTTTTTCTCCTCTGTATCCTTTCCATCCTCCTTTTCCTCCTCCGAGTCAGAGAGATTGTAGAAACGTTTCAGGTCCTCTGAGGTTGTGTGGTTGACAGGTCGGCCGCGTTTGTCGACCGTGTACTTGAGCTTGAAGCGATCGTCGTGGAACATGGACTGGAAGCGCTTGTCAATCTTGATTTTGTGCTCTTTCTCTGGCATTTCCCAGAAGCGTGGGTCCTTTTTCACTTTCTGGAAGCGGTCATCGCCGCTTTGGCTCTTTTTGGAAGCCATGATGGCTAAGTCGTCGGAGGAGTACCTGTAAAGAGGTCAGACAGTTTGTCAATGGAAGTTAACGTTGCACAAGATAAAGAAAGAAAACAAGATTAGTTATTATCCTTTCTACATACACACTACTCTCTTACTTACTAATACTATCATACTTGTCGTAACAACCAAGAACAGCCTACCTCACATGTAAGCTTATTAGAGCAATTTTTGTGCTCAGTACTCAATTCTGATTATGCACATCTATTGGTGTCCAAACTGAACTGAATAGAAGTATTCAATACTGCAGATCAGAAGCTAGTAATGCAGCCTACTGCTATTTACTTATGAAGAGCATAAGTTTAACATCTCTAGTTAGCTACTCTAACTACAGTAAGAGATGGTAGATTTTCTCCAGTCTATTGATAGCCACCAAGAAAGATGTTAAAGTAACTAGTTAGGGGCAATTCCACGATAACGGAATTATGCTCCTATTTTTCACTTTAAAAAGTGTATGACAAACATTAAAAAACATTGTTTTTGGTGTATACAACTATGCACAATGACTACTTTGAACAATTTACACAGTAAAAAAAAAAACTTTTACTGGAAAAATTATGCAGATGAAAAGTTCGGTAACAGAATTACAGTAAAATCTCCCTCTGTTTTATTCTGTTACCAAACTTTGTATCTGCACAGTTGTTCTTGTAAATGTGTTTTTGTAATATGTTCAGTGGAATTTATTAAAAGTAGTCATTGTGAATCGAGTTTGATGGTTTGTTAAACTTTTAAATCAATAGTTTTTGTTTGGTATACATTTTGAAGTGAAAAATGAATACCAATTCCGTTACCATGGAATTGCCCCTAGGTCACTGTTAAACTCAAGCCACAGAGGGCTGAGCATCTGCAGGTTTTTGCACCTCCCTTGTACTTGATTGATGAATTAAGGTAATTGATTAGTAAAGAACATTAGCAAAAACCCTCAGACCCTAGATTACATGAGTTTATTAGTCACATGCACAGGGTCGCAGATGTAATTGCAGGGTACAGTGAAATTCTTAAGCTCCGAGCTCCAACAGTGCATTGCAAAAAGAGAAGAGAATGAAACAATAAAAATAATAAATACATATTTACAACTTTAACAATGATAGGCCCTCCATAGAATTAGTTTGACACCCCCATAGAGACAGATAGAGGACCCATCTTTGTATCTGTGCCATTACATAGCGTGTTCACCCATAAAATTATTAATTAGATCAAAGTCCATTCAATAGAACAGTCTGTCAGAAAAACAGTCCAAACCCCATGTCTCTACCATATATGGTTAAAAAGTTACTGATAATTTATTCTGAATTGAGCATGTTTAGAGTGAATGGAATGTCATCACAGGCATGATCAAAAAGTGGTCACTGCTCAATAGAACTCTGTGGTGCTGCACCACGGCAAAACGACGCTATCTTCGAACATCAACTGACGAGCTAGCTATTGGCTGCAGGTTCGTGAGTGAAAACATGGGCTTTTTATAAATTAAATCCGCTGAATACAAAACTAAATAGGGACTAAATATATATGTATTTACAAAGCTAAAATACTGAATTTCAATATCCACCCTCCGCAAAGACAATCTATTCCTGTTTTCATTGTGTATTTTTGAGTCGTTCCTTTTAAATCGCCATAGAAACGGCCCCTCAACATAGATTGACCATGGTTATAGGCAATGAAAGCCAACGATCTGGAGTAGAAAATGACAAAGGTATCAAGTTTATTTTGATTTGTCCAACCAGTGGAAACACCTCCAAATAGTACCACCTCACAACACCAAATATGGAAGAGATACAACCAAGAGCGACGCAGTCTAAACCAGCAACGGTCACAGCAAATGAACGTTCTTATTTAATCAACACTGTCAAGTATATTAAGGTTATAATATTGTAGAGAACAATGTAATGATTAATTCTATGTAATTTATAATGACATGGGGCAAAGAAAACCACGTTTTGACAATAATTTCGTAGCACCCTCTTGAATTGCCCCGTTTTTCTCTACATTGTACAGCAGCAAGTGAACGCCCTACATTATAGCATCTGTGACAGCATCGGCAGCGCCATTGAGGCCATCTCCTTTCAAGTAGTCAATTTTCTTCTTCACAATTGGCTGATCCCTTCTGTTGACCCGGTTGGAAATTACTCGAACCGGATCATCTGGAGGGATCAGCCAATGAAGTTGGAAGTCCCACCCAGTTGACTACATTAAAATGGTGGAAGCCCTCAATGGCGCTTCCCATGGTAAAAATGAGCTTTTGGCCACCAGAGGCCTCTATCATTCTCTATGGGCACCCGAGCTAGGTAGTTAGCTAGCTAGCTAGGTAAACTCAGAATGACATAAACTAATTCCTACTCTCTATTAATCCTAGTAGGTACACTGCACCACAGTGCAATACCCTGGGTACATACTATTCTAACAAGTGAGTTTTTTTATTGCATGGATTAGCAAGCAAGCTAACACACTTGACACATAAATCAGACACACATTTTTACATTTACATTTTAGTCATTTAGCAGACACTCTTATCCAGAGCGACTTACAGTTAGTGCATACATTATTTTTTTATCGAACCCACAACCCTGGCGTTGCAAACGCCATGCTCTACCAACTGAGCTACATCCCACACGAGACAGACATGTAAACAACACTTGAGGAGGGCCATTCCAAGAGCTGCAGTTAGCATAAAGAACACAATTCAAAGTGTAAACTGATAAATATTTGGCACAGATAAAGAGGAATGCAAAAGTATTTTGGTGAATAGGGACTTACCAAAACAACTGCTCCAGTGAAATTGTACCGGTATCCACGTGTTCTCCCAACATGCACCCCTTTTCGCATACGGCAAGCCAGGCAGTACAAAACCACAGTTCAGTCCATGTTCAATACATGAGACAAGCCAGGCAGTACAAAACCGCAATTCAGTCCATATTCAATACATCATGTATTCAAATTCAATACATACATTTACCAATATAAATGTATTATTTGAGCTTTAAAATGAAATCAGCACCATATGCATTAGTCTTTACAACAAGAAGAGGCGGTAAAACTAGCGAACAGACTGAAATCCAGTTCCATATCTTCTATCAAACGAGGAAGAAACTGTTCCATAATTGTCTATTTGTCCACTGTGTCGAGGTCATTCAATGTGGACGACTGAAAGAACACGCTCCAAAAATGAATTTGTTGTGCAATGGTTTGCTACTTATTACTGTAATTGGCGCGTGAGTCGGTAAACAATTTGTAAAAATGAACAATGCAATAGGTAGTCGTTTTATCAATGGTAGTTGTGTCTGCCGGAGAGTCTTGAAAATAGGCAGCGTTAGATTTCTGGTCCCTCAACAACATGATTCAGCTCATTCACAAAGAAATGTCATGACAGCTCTTTCAAGGTTTACACCAGTGAAAGAGTTGTCTTCTTCCAAAATTCGGTGTTCTCATTGGACCGAATTTCAGAGGAAATTATCAGGCAGGGCTGGAGGTACAATGAATGTATTTGACAGGACTATGAAGAGGAGACAGAAGAATTGGGCTGCATCACTACAAGACAGTGACAAATATGACTATCTTAGAGATGAGGTATACTGTAGCTGTATTTGTATGAGAGATTTTGTCTTGTCCTAGCTCTCTTTTATCCAAGAAAATGTATGTGTTCTGGTACTGTTCATATTCATTTGTAGGTTGGAAGCAGAGTTGCAGACAGGGTCTATGACATTACAAGGTAAGGCAACAGAAGTTGTGATGCATAGACATAGTATATGTTCATGGCACTGTTGTTGAAATGAAAGTTTAAATTTGTGCATGTGAGGGTGTGTATTGTGCTGACATTTTGGACTTATTTTCACAGGACATTTCCTTTAGCATTGGAAATTGGCTGTGGGAAAAGTCACATTGCTGAGCATTTGCACAAGGTAGCTGTCAATGGTTGTTCTTAAACAGGCAGGCAGCATTTGAAACAAAAAACCTATCCCCGCCCCAGTTTTGGGAAAAAGTTGAGGGATGAGGCTGGAGAAATGTAACCACTCAAATTCATAGACAGAGTTATGGATGCAATATATCCATGATATCATAATTATAGTTTTAACCATGTTTTGAGGCTATATCGTGTGTGTTTACATTTACTTTGTTGACAAACATTGGAGTAATTGGATTCTGATGGTGTACAACAGTTTAACTAAGCTTATGAGGCATTTATTAGTTATATTCGTCAAGAATCAATGGGTACATATCATTAATTTATAAGTCAAAAAATGGATGTAGCAACTGCAGATTGCCCCTTTAAGGTAGGGAAAACATTAACTCACAATATGTATGCTTTCTGAATATTGAATTGTGCATTTATTTTCAGGAAGTAGTTAAGCAGCTCTTCTTAACTGACATCTCAGAAAAGTCTTTGGTGAGTTAAATCTTCTCCTTAGATCCTATTAAATTACTAATAGGAATTATAATATGTCATTCTGTTAGAACACCCATAGCCTAAGTGGAATGATTGTGTTTATGAGCAGAGGCCACTAATTATAGATCAATAGATTGATGGAGTGGTCTGTAAAATCAGAGGCATGTTATGGAGGGACTTCTGTTTTTTTTCTGGACGATCTAACGCTTGTCTCGCTTCTCAGAGAAACACAAGAGAAAGTGAGATCCCTACCAACTGTGTCATGGCCGATGAAGAGTTTCTGCCCTTTAAAGAAAACACATTTGATCTGGTGGTCAGCAGCTTGAGGTGATTTGGCCTTGTAGATGTTTCTGACATAACATTGGATTTGAGCCCTCCAAGTCATATTCCCTGGGGTTTTATATGGCTTACTTGCAACTCGCAATTATCTAGTACTGTATGTTTCTCCCATTTAGCCTACACTGGATCAATGATCTCCCTGGAGCCTTGAGACAGGTAACTGACAGCCTCATATGATTTTTTTACATCAGTACTTTATTGCCTTTTGCCGTCTGTTTTTTCCAAATACGTTACATGCTTATAACATCATAATTACACAGGATGCAGGACTACAACAATCCTGGTTCCTCAGTGTGTATCGCTGTGCTGTCATTCTAATCCCTTCCCAAAGATCAACCAGGTTCTGAAGCCAGATGGGGTGTTCATCGGGGCCATGGTGGGCGGGGAGACCCTGTACGAGCTGCGCTGCTCCCTGCAGCTGGCTGAGCTCGAGCGGGAAGGGGGGTTCTCCCCCCACGTGTCCCCCTACACGGCCGTCACAGACCTGGGCAACCTGCTGGGCCAGGCAGGCTTCAGTATGCTGACAGTGGTGAGGCCTTGGGTGTCCTAGCCATAGAGATACAATATAGGCTAATATGAGTGTTCTATTTAATTCTGTGGTCCTAGCTGTGATTCTAGCGATTAGCTAGAAATTATAATGATGCCGCAATATTTGTGTTTGAGGCAAGCGATTATATTACATTTTTTCTGTAGGACATTGATGAAATTCAAGTGCACTATCCTGGGATACTTGAGGTCATGAGTGACCTGCAAGGTACAGTAAGCCTACTGTATACAACAGTTCTACTATTGTAGATCTGTGCTTTTTGTTCATACTCTTGAGTTTTTATAGTTTAATTGTTTCTATTCAACTTCTCATAGGTAATTGTCTCATAGGACAGGCAGTTAAATAATATTTAATGCCTGAATACTGAGTTATCCCCTTTGTCTTGACCCTCCAGGTATGGGGGAGAGCAACTGCGCTTGGAACAGGAAGTCCATGTTGCACAGAGATACCATTTTAGCTGCAGCTGCAATCTACCAAGGTGAGCTACATAGTGGAAAAAGACATACTTGAAATGAAACCATCTAATATCCTTATACTATTATTATTATCCTTATATTTAAATATATATATATATATTCTTAAATGTCTTCAAATCTTAAAACATTATTTTCCCTTATTTTGCTAAACTCTTATCTCCACTTTTCCAACCCTCTCCTACACCAACAACATCCCATCTGTCTCATTTTAGTGTTTAATTTGAGCTAAACATGTGAAAGTTCAGTAAAGGAAAATACCACTCAAAAACGATCTATTGATATGTTTCATTAGTCCACTGTTGATATAGTCCCAAAATCTTTTGCATGTCAGAAATCAAGTTTTCAAGATAGAGCTTTCAAAATACAGAAAGTGCAACAGCAAAACGCATCATAGTGTGAAACTTTCTGTATTTTGAAAGTTCTATATTGAGTGTTATTTTCCTTTGTCACCGTACAGTATCATCTGGTTTGAGGTCAGAAGTGTAGACTCAGACTGAATGTCTCAACCCTTATTTAAAGTAAGCAAAAGTAACTCTAATATCAAGCTGTTGCTTTAGAGAAGTGATCACCAACTCTGGTCATGGAGAGCTACTGGGTGTGCAGGATTTTGTTCCAGCCCAGCACAAACACTGATTAAACAAATGTTGATGAGCAGTTGAATCGGGTGTTAGTGCAGGAATGGAACAAAAGCATGCACAACCAGCAGCTCTCCAGTTCCAGTTAACCAGCCTGACCACTGCTTTAGATGCTGATACTCTATTTGATTGATTTCCCTCAGAGATGTATGGGAGTGAGGATGGGTCTGTTCCTGCAACATTTGAGATCCTCTACATGATTGGTTGGAAGCCTCATGACTCACAGGTGTGTGATTTTCACTCGTATGTTTGCAAATTACATTTGCAGAAATATAATGTAAATGTCAATGGTGAAGATGCAATATTTAATGCGGTTTTGTTCTTGGCAGGCGAAACCAGCTAAAAGAGGCTCTGCAAACGTGTCTTTTGGGGACCTCTCGAAGATCGGCCAGCCATCAACTAAAGACAAGTCTTAGAAGAAACATCTGCAGCCATTGCATAAAGAAAATTAAACAGCAATGCAATGAAAGTATGGGGTAAGTTCCCCAATGAAAGTATTGGAGAACTATTAACGTAGATAGGTGACTGGTTCCCAAGAGATGTCCACTCAATGACTGAAATCAGTCAGATGTCACCGTTTATTTATAGTGTATCACTTTTTTCTACTGATACTATCAACACAGGTTCAGTGGAAACCAGACAGTGATTGAGAAAGGCTACAACACCGTGTTGAAACAGTGACTGATATACATGCTTTATGACAGATAATTATAGTTTCTCACCAATGAATGGCAAATGCATACATTTCTACATTACATGTATCATTTAGTGTCTTGTGTTCCTGTCGTACCATGCTTCATGTTCTTAAAATAAATGCAGTGATATATAGTCTCCACTTTATGTCTGATGGACTGTATGTGTACTGTTTATACAGTGTGTATATCTGAAGGTAATGTTGTATGTCAGAAGTGGAAATAGAAATATATTTGTACTCAAACGCCAAACCCACCACTGGTGTGTGTGGCCAAAGAGCTCTATTTTCTTGTCATCTGACCATAGCACCGCCTGGAGTTTGATAAACGGCATTGGCATTTGGATTGCACCCAGTTCTATGGTCAGATGGCATGAAAATAGAGCTCTTTAGTGGTGGGTTTGGTGTTGAAAGGTATGTCATACCTACAGTAAAATATGGTGGTGCATCTTTATTGTTATGGGGCTATTTTGCTTCCACTGGTCCTGTGGCCCTTGTTTAAGGTCAACAGCATCATGAACTTTACCAAGTACCAGGACATTTTAGCCAAAAACCTGGTTGCCTATGCCAGGAGGCTGACACTTGGCCGCAAGTGGATCTTCCAGCAAGACAATAACCCCAAGCACACATCAAAGTACACAAAGAAATTGTTAATTTATCACAAATCAACATTTTGGCAATGGCCATCTCAGTCTCTGAACCCAATGGAAAACCTGTGGTTTGAATTGAAGAGGGCAGTCCATAAGCACAGACAAAGGATATCAAGGATCTGGAAAGATTCTTTATGCATGAATGGTTTAAGATCCCTCCCAACATCTTCTCCAATCTCATGAAACATTTTAGAAAAAGGCTCAGTGTCGTTATCCTCGCAATGGAAGGGTGCTGGAGTACTGAGAAGGGGTGCCAATCATTATTAACCCTATCTTTTTTAGATTGTTGAGGCATTAGTGTGTCATCATAGTGGTATCTAACTTGTGGTCAGAGTCGCTCAGGTGAAACAAACAAACTTGCACCTTTTTTCAATGCTGAATTTAATGTCATTGAGAAAACAGAAAGGTGTCAATATATATTTATTTGCCAACATCCTTTGTAAATTTCAAAGTAATCCAAGAAGTAATCATCTAGTTTTTCAAAAGTATCTAATCCGATTACAATATTGTTGGTGGTAACACGTTTTTTGTAATCAGATTATATGTAACTGATGTAATCAGTTACTCCCCAACCCTGATTGTCAGTCAGATGTTACACAGACAATTTACTGAGCAGAGATGTTCATTTATCTAAACTTTTTCATCTTTCCTGAGAGGAATGCAGCTACCCTGAGCTGTAATCACCCTGTGGGGAGTAAGGTAACATGGAGCAGAGAAACAGATGGAAAGAAGGTAGACATTCTCACTGTTCAAGATGAAGTCTACGTCAAACACATTTCTGATCCATGCAAACATGGTTCAACCACACAAAGGCATTGGTTATAGTTAGAGTGAAAACCCCAGACTCTGGTACATACTACTGCAATAGGCAACCAACAGCAGATCTAAGAGTGACATAAAAATCTGCAAAAAAAGGTCCCAACCTACCCCACCACAAAGAGTGGAACCAATATGAATGTACAAAGCAGAACAAATATATTTAGAAAATAGAAGACCAACTACCCCCCATAGCCCGTTGGAAAGTGTGTGTTGCTTTAGTTAATGGTTTTGGAGTGCGATTATCTTCATATTGAGATATTGGTCAAAAAGGAGAGCTACAGCCATATGAGAAACTACTATTGAGGACATCAAGATGGGGCCCTGAGTTTCTTGACCACGTGAATTCAGGGCTCTACAGCGAGGTCATGACCACCTTGGTCAATTTGAAGATTGTCAGTTGTTGTATAAATTAATAATCCCATGTTTCTGTTAGAATATATGAAAAATAAAAAATAAAGTAAGCAAAGGTTACACACAAGCTAACTACTTGTCTGTCCCTCGATATTGTGGGCTGAATTGTTACAATTTAGTGGCATTTCTTCGACTTGATATGTGCAGCGTCCAATTATCTTTTCTTGTACTAATAGAACAGTGCATTCGGAAAGTATTCAGACCCCTTGACTATTTCCACATTTTGTTACGTTACAGTCTTATTCTAAAATTGATTAAATAGTTTTTTCCCCTCATCAATCTACACACAATACCCCATAATGACAAAGCAAAAAGCACAGATCTGGGGAAGGGTACTAAAAAATTCAGCATTGAAGGTCCCCAAGAACACAGTGGCCTCCATCATTCTTAAATGGAAGAAGTTTGGAACCACCAACTCTTCCTAGAGCTGGCCACCTGGCCAAACTGAGCAATCGGGGGAGAAGGGCCTTGGTCAGGGAGGTGACCAAGAACCAGATGGTCACTCTGACAGAGCTCCAGAGTACCTCTGTGGAGATGGGAGAAACTTCCAGATGGACAACCATCTCTGCAGCACTCCACCAATCAGGCCTTTATGGTAGAGTGGCCAGACGGAAGCCACTCCTCAGTAAAAGGCACATGACAGCCCGCTTGGAGTTTGCCAAAAGGCACCTAAAGGACCTCAGACCATGAGAAACAAGATTCTCTGGTCTGATGAAAACAAGATTAAACTCTAAGGCCTGAATGCCAAGCGTCACGTCTGGAGGAAACCTGGCACCATCCCTGCGGTGAAGCATGGTGGTGGCAGCATAATGCTGTGGGGATGTTTTTCAGGGACTAGGAGACTAGTCAGGATCGAGGGACAGATGAACGGAGCAAAGTACAGAGAGATCCTTGATGAAAACCTGCTCCAGAGCGCTCAGGACCTCAGACTGGGGTGAAGGTTCACCTTCCAACAGGACAACGACCCTAACTACACAGCCAAGACAACGCAGGAGTGGCTTTGGGACAAGTCTCTGAATGTCCTTGAGTGGCCCAGCCAGAGCCCGAACTTGAACCTGATCGAATATCTCTGGAAAGACCTGAAAATAGCTGTGCAGCGACGCTCCCCATCCAATCTGACAGAGCTTGAGAGAATTTGCAGAGAAGAATGGGAGAAACTCACCAAATACAGATGTGCCAAGCTTGTAGTGTCATACCCAAGACTCAAGGCTGTAATTGCTGCCAAAGGTGCTTCAACAAAGTACTGAGTAAAGGGTCTGAATACTTTTGTAAATGTGACATTTCAGTTTTTATTTTTAATACATTTGCAAACATTTCTAAAAACCTGTTTTTGCTTTGTCATTATGGGGTATTGTGTGTAGATTGATGAGGGGGGAAAACGATTTAATCAATTTTAGAATAAGGCTGTAACGTAACAAAATGTGGAAAAAGTCAATGGGTCTGAATACTTTCCGAATGCACTGTAATTATAGAGGTTCCTTTTCAAGCACAAATTGTACATTATCATTTGGCGTTCACGCCTTGATATAGTTTTTTCTTCTTGTATAACTGCATTGTAATAATATATAATTTCCATGTTATTTTGGACAATTGACAATTTTTCATAGCTGGATTCACACATCTGAACTTGTGGTCACTGACAAATGTCAGTTTCATTTTATCATTACATTGTTCTCATATCCTGTACTAAATGTACACTGTTGATTTTTATAATGGATAAATAAAGTATGTTTTGTAATGTTTTTAAAACATGTATATAATTTATTTTTTTCACCTTTATTTAACCAGGTAAGCCAGTTGAGAACAAGTTCTCATTTACAACTGCGACCTGGCCAAGATAAAGCAAAGCAGTGCGATAAAAACAACAACAACACAGTTACATATGGAATAAACAAAACGTACAGTCAATAACACAATAGAAAATCTATATACAGTGTGTGCAAATGTAGTAAGTTATGGAGGTAAGGCAATAAATAGGCCATAGTGCAAATTAATTACAATTTAGTATTAACACTGGAGTGATAGATGTGCAGAAGATGATGTGCAAATAGAGATACTGGGGTGCAAATGAGCAAAATAAATAACAATGTAAATAACAATATGGGGATGAGGTAGTTGGGTGGGCTAATTACAGATGGGCTGTGTACAGGTGCAGTGATCGGTAAGCTGCTCTGACAACTGATGCTTAAAGTTAGTGAGGGAGATAAGTGTCTCCAGCTTCAGAGATTTTTGTAGTTCGTTCCAATCATTTGCAGCAGAGAACTGGAAGGAATGGCAGCCAAAAGAGGTGTTGGCTTTGGGGATGACCAGTGAGATATACCTGCTGGAACGCATACTACGGGTGGGTGTTGCCATTGTGACCAATGAGCTAAGATAAGGCGGAGATTTGCCTAGAAGTGATTTATAGATGACCTGGAGCCAGTGGGTTTGGCGACGAACATGTAGTGAGGGCCAGCCAACGAGCGCGTACAGGTCACAATGGTGGGTAGTATATGGGGCTTTGGTGACAAAACGGATGGCACTGTGAAAGACTACATCAAATTTGCTGAGTAGAGTGTTGGAAGCTATTTTGTAAATGACATCGCCGAAGTCAAGGATCGGTAGGATAGTCAGTTTTACAAGGGCATGTTTAGCAGCATGAGTGAAGAAGGCTTTGTTGCAAAATAAGAAGCGGATTCTAGATTTAACTTTGGATTGGAGATGCTTAATGTGAGTCTGGAAGGAGAGTTTACAGTCTAACCAGACACCTAGGTATTTGTAGTTGTCCACATATTCTAAGTCAGACCCGCCGAGAGTAGTGATTCTAGTCGGGCGGGCGGGCGGGTGCAAGCAGCGTTCGATTGAAGAGCATGCATTTAGTTTTACTAGCGTTTAAGAGCAGTTGGAGGCCACGGAAGGAGTGTTGTATGGCATTGAAGCTCGTCTGGAGGTTTGTTAACACAGTGTCCAATGAAGGGCCAGATGTATACAAAATGGTGTCGTTTGCGTAGAGGTGGATCTGAGAGTCACCAGCAGCAAGAGCGACATCCTTGATATACACAGAGAAGAGAGTCGGCCCGAGAATTGAACCCTGTGGCACCCCCATAGAGACTGCCAGAGGTCCAGACAACAGGCCCACCGATTTGACACATTGAACTCTAATATTTGAAAGGGATAGGTGCTTTACAAGCCCTTTGTTTTTTTTATGTCTCCTGCACATGTACATTTCTTTTGTCTTTTAATTATCATAATTTTGTTTGGTCTTTTTCTTGTTTAAATAACAAT